CAATTCAATAATGTGGGGGATTTGTAATGATCTTGTAATAATTTTTCTCTGAGGCAAGTGAGGGAAGGGAACAAGGCCATGTGCATGTTGATGGGAGCTTTCATATTCATGGCCTTTAATTTATATTCCATTGGTTTAATTATAAATTCTGATGATAAAAGATATCTGTATCTGACTAGTGGATGTAGGATGTTAAGGTCGCGTTTGGTACGCAGGACGGGATGGAACAGTGTGGGACAAGGCGTTCCGTCCCACGTTTGGTGCACTTAAAATGAATGGAACGTGCTGTTCCACGGGACAAGTTTTGGATGATTTTTTGTTCCACCTCCCCCCCCTTGGAATGGCTTGTTCCACGTCCGTGGGACAGAAATTTACAACATTTTAAGACAAAAATGCCCCTTGTCTTTTCAAAATTTACATCATCAAAATCATACAACAAACCCTAAAAACTATCTTCTCTTCTTCTCAGCCATTGTGAACCTCTCCACCTCTGCATCTCCCCTTCGCAACCACAAGCTTCATCTCCTCCTCCAGGACCTCCGCCTTCTTATCCAGCGAGACGCCGTCATTTACCAGCCCTCCTTTCTCCACCCCATCCTCCTCCCTCAGGTTTGCCCCCGCTAACCTACGCATGGTGCGCATCCCAACCCTCGCCACTGCCTCGAAGCCGGCCACCACCCCCTTCCGCGAGCCCCGCAGAATCATGAAGCCTCGCAAAGTATCGCCTAAGATGCAAGCCCTTATGGGTGCCCCCAAGATTTCTCGCACCCAGGATCTGAAGTAGATTTGGGCCCACATTAAGCAGAACAATCTATAGGTTTACTTTGCATTTTTTATCACTCTGTAGTTGATTTTTTGAAAACCCTTTAGTCCATTTGGTGTTTAATTGGTACTATTGTAGTTTTGTTAGAGAAAAAAGGTGTGGATAAGGTTATGTTTGTATGTAATGATTAGATTTTCTTGTCTTTGTGCTGAAATTGCTTGATGTTATAGTTGATTTGTTTTTTTGCTTGGATAGTTGCGATGGCGTGGATGAAATGTGGGTTTGTGTTGTTGGTATTGCTATTGCACTTAGTTTGCTTGTTGGAACTTGGAATGGACTGTTTTGATGTGTATGAGCTGGGTTTGTTATTTCTGGATTCGAGAGTTCATTTCGGTCGTGCGTTTAGATGGGTTTATCCTGTTGCTATTGTGGGGTTTTACATATATGGTTTAGGCAATGCTTGAATTGAAAATGTGAAGTGGTGTACCTTGCTATAGCTTAGGTTGGTACTCAGGGTTTCTAGGGTTTGGTATACTTGTTATTCTGTTTAGATAGGAACGAATAAGGCTGTTCGTATGCAAGATGCGAGGAAGTTTATTATTTTATTCTTAAATTTTCCTCTTTGTTGTTTTTTGGATGCTTTTGTATCTGTTGGAGTTCAGTGTTTCTAAGCTGATAGTTGTGTTGTTAAAGTCCCACATCGGTGGGTGCAAGAAAACCAAAGGGGTTTAAATAGTATTACCCCACTCTAACTAACATCGAGGCCTTTTGTGGTAAAACTCCACACCTGAGGATTGTGCAGGTGGTTAAGTTGGGGACAATATCAGTGTCGTTAGAGTGGGGTAGGCCCGGTGATCCAAAAATTCCAACATGGTATCAGAGCCAATCTGATCAAAGAGTAGGGTGTTTTTTTATTCTCAAAAAGGGGGGAAATTCTAAGTGAAACCCTAGAATCAAAATTTTTCAAATTCATGGCTGGTTCAAGTAGCAGTGGTGAGATTCGAACTTCTATCTTCAGTGGAGTGAACTACGACTTCTGGAGGACCAAGTTGAGAACAATTTTTGTATCTCATGATTTGTGGAGTTTGATTGAAAATGGCTATGTTGTACCTCTAAGTACTGTGGTTTTAACAGAGACTCAAACAAGGGAGCCGAAGGAAAACATCAAGAGAGATGCAAAAGCTCTTGGGGTCATCCAAAATGCTATCTCAGATGAAATTTTTCCAAGAATCTCAAATGAGACAAGTGCCAAATCAGCTTGGGATGTGCTAGAGAAAGTCTACAGAGGCTCTACTAAGGTAAGGGTTGTCAAACTCCAATCTTTGAGAAGAGATTTTGAGTATATAAGAATGAAAGATGATGAATTGCTATATGATTACCTGAGTAGATTGTCTGAGATTATTAATCAAATGAAAAGCTAGGGTGAAATCTTGTCTGATGAGATAATAGTTCAGAAGTATCTAATTAGCTTGCCAAGAAAGTATGACAACATAGTTTCAATCATAGAGGAGACTAAGGATTTGTCAACTTTGAGTGTTGAAGAATTGATTGGTTCTCTCAAAGGTTTTGCTCAGAGATTATCTAGGCATGACAACAATGATGTAGAAAATGCTTTCCAAACACTTACAGTGAATCCAAAAACTCAAGCTAGTTCAAGTCAAAGCAAGGCCAACTCCAACAAGAATTCGAAAGGGAAAAACAAAGCTTGGGAAGGAAAGGGTAATTTTGAAGAGAAGAAAAAGGTTGAGAAGAGTTTGTATGTTTCGAAGTGCAAAATTTGTGGCAAAGCTCATTTCGGTGAATGTTGGTTCAAAGGAAAAGTGAAATGCCACAAGTGTAGCTGATTCTGGCATATGCAAAAGGATTGTACCTACAAAGATAATCAGCTAGCTCATTGCACCAAAGCAGAAGATGAAGAGACCAATATGTTTTATGTTGGTCATGATACAACCGTCCAAGAAGAAGCTAAAGTTTGGTTTGTGGACAGCAGCTGTAGCAATCATATGACTGCGAATAAGAACATTCTCCATAATGTTGACACTACAAACCTAACCCAAGTGAAGATGGGAAATGGGCAGCTAGTCGATACATTGGGAAGAGGTACTATTGCCGTGCATACGAAGAATGGAAAAATGTTCATCAAGGATGTCATGTTAGTTCCTAATTTGAAGCAATTTGCTAAGTCTTGGACAACTCATTGAGCATGACTACAACTTATATTTTGGAGACAATACTTGCAAGATATATGATAGAAGGAATCGTCAACAACTCTTGGCTAAGATTGAGATGAGGAAGAGTAGAAGTTTTCCTCTCACAATTGAGTATGCAACTCAATCTACATTCAAGATGGAAGTGCAAGAAGATTCAAAGCTATGGCATAAAAGGCTTGGCCACTTGAATTTTCAAAGTCTCAAGAAGCTACAAGAAAAAAAAAATGGTGCATGGGTTGCCGAGTATCCGAGAAAATGAAGAAATATGTGAAGGGTGTGCACTTGGGAAGCATCATAGAGATTCATTTCCACATGGTAAAGCTTGGAGAGAAAAAGTTCCATTGGAATTGATTCATACAGATGTTTGTGGACCCATGAAGACCTCTACTCAAGTGGGAAACAAGTATTTCCTAATCTTCGTGGATGATTATTCCAGAATGACTTGGGTATACTTTTTAAGACAGAAATCAGAAGTGTTCTCAATCTTCAAGAAGTTTCAAGCTATGGTTGAGCGACAATCTGGTTATCTAATCAAAGTTCTTAGAAATGACAAAGGAGGAGAGTATACATCCACAGAATTTGATAAGTTTTGTCAAGATATTGGTTTGGAAAGGTAGCTTACAGTCAGCTACACTCCACAACAAAATGGGGTAGCTGAAAGCAAAAACAGAACCATAGTCGAAATGGCTAAGGCAATGTTGCATGACAAGGGAATGCCTCAATATTTGTGGGGTGAGGCAGTTAATCCAACGGTCTACTTGATGAATAGGCATCCAATAGTGGCAGTTGAAGATAAGATACCATTTGAGGCATGGAGTGGAAGAAAGCCTTCCGTGAATCATTTGAGAGTGTTTGGGTCAATCTGCTTTGCTTATGTTCCGAAAGAACTAAGACAAAAACTTGATGAGTCAAGTGAAAGATGCATTTTCGTAGGCTATGCTTCATACACAAAAGGGTACAGACTCTAGAATTTAAAAAGGAAGAAAGTTGTGGTTTGTAAAGATGTTTTTTTTAGTGAGAAATCTTCGTGGGATTGGAATTAAGCAACCATCCGAGAGGAATCTGCACTAATCAAAATTGAAGGAGAAAATCAACCAAATGAAGAGGAAATTGAGCCAGAAATTCCACAATTATCACCTGAAAACAGTCATCAAGTTCACTCTCCTACACCTTCAAGTCCAAGTTCAATGCCGGTTCGGTTAAGAAGCTTACATGAAGTCTATGAAAGCTGCAATTTTTGTGTTGAAGAACCAAAAAACTTTGATGATGCAGTGAAAGAAGAGACTTGGAAGGCTGCAATGCAAGAGGAGATCAATGTCATTGTGAAAAACAAGACATGGGAACTAGTGGACAGACCTTATGACAGCTCCGTCATTGGAGTGAAGTGGATTTATAAGACTAAGCTCAATCAAGATGGTTCCGTTCAAAGGAACAAAGCTAGATTGGTAGCAAAGGGTTATTCTCAGAAACCCGGGATTGATTTCCAAGAAACATTTGCACCGGTAGCTAGGCATGAAACAATCAGAGGCCTTATTTCCGTAGCTGCTCAGAAGGGGTGGTTTCTACACCAACTTGATGTCAACTCAGCTTTCCTAAATTGAGTCCTAAAAGAAGAAGTGTTCATTGATCAACCTCAAGGATTTGTTCTTAAAGGACAAGAGCACAAGGTGTATAAGCTTAAGAAGGCACTTTATAGCCTAAAACAAGCTCCGAGAGCATGGTATGGAGAGATCAACTCATATTTCAATGAAAGAGGTTTTCAAAGAAGTGAGAATGAACCTGCCCTCTATGTCAAAACAGAAGGTATTTCAGATATCCTTATTGTTTCCTTATATGTTGATGATTTGGTTTATACTGGAAGTAGTCATAATATGATCTTGAATTTCAAGAATGACATGATGAGGAAATATGAGATGAGTGATCTAGGCATGTTGCATTATTTTTTAGGAATTAGTATCATTCAATCAAATAATGGTATCTTTATAACTCAAAAGAAATATGCAAAAACACTTCTAGAAAAGTTCAAAATGGTTGGTTGCAAGCCTGTTGCAACACCTCTAGTTGTGAATGAAAAGTTTCAAAGAGAAGATGGTAGTTGTGATGCTGATGAATCTGTGTATAGAAGCCTAGTTAGGAGTTTGTTGTATTTGACAGCGACTAGACCCGATATTATGTATGTTGCAAGCTTGTTGTCCAGATTTATGCACAAGCCTACTTACATTCACTATGGAGTTGCAAAGAGGATCCTAAGATACATACAAGGTAGACTTGACTTTGGTATTATGTATGAAAGGAATGTTGAGCCAAAATTGTATGGGTTCTGTAATAGTGACTGGGGAGGTAGTGTGGATAACTTGAAGAGCACATCTGGCTATACTTTTACATTAGGGACTGGTGTATTCTTTTGGGCATCTAAGAAACAGAAATCAGTTGCACTATCAACGGCAGAGGCTGAGTATGTGTCGGCTTCAATTGCAACTTCTTAAGCAGTGTGGCTGAGAAGAATTATGCAAGATTTTGGTGAGAAACAAGAATCAGCAACTCATATCCTTTATGACAATAAGTCAGCTATTGCCATGAGCAAGAATCATGTTTGTCATGGTAAATCAAAGCATATTGCTCTGAAGCATCACTTCATCAGAGGTGTTGTGGAAGACAAAGAAGTGGATGTGGTCTGTTGTAAGACAAAAGATCAAGTTGCTACTATCTTCACCAAGGCATTACCAAAGGATAGATTCATCTACCTAAGAGAACTTTTGGGAGTGAAGCAGCAAAGCATTAAGAGGAAGTGTTAAAGTTAATCCTTTGCTTCTGTTTGCTGTCTAATTTCTGATGTGCTTTTATGTAATTTGTAATGTTTTTCAGTCGACTCAATTCTGTGTAAAATGGTTGACTGTTGCCTTTATCAGTCGACCCATTCTCTTTATCAGTCGACGCAATTACTTCAATCAACTTATGTATTAAGCCATATATATCAGAAATATCTGAATGAAAAGATAAGATTTCTGTTTTTATAAAAAAGCATCAGCCCTCTATTTCCAAAGCTCACTGCACTCTGTTTCTTTGATTTTCAATCTTTATCATTTTATTCAATTTTTATTAATGATGAAAGATTGTCTAAATACCAACATGGTATCAGAGTCCACGGTTGCGGACCCGTGCAAGCCAATGAGCTTGTCACCAAGAAGGAAACAAGTCTGAACTCTTAACAAAGAGACCAACGTGAGCCCAACGTGAGCCGACCTCTGAGTTTCAATTACCGATGTGGATCTCCACGTGTGAGTTACACGTGAGGGGGAGTGTTAAAGTCCCACATCGGTGGGTGCAAGAAAACCAAAGGGGTTTAAATAGTATTACCCCACTCTAACTAACACCGAGGCTTTTTGTGGTAAAACCCCACACCTGAGGATTATGTAGGTGGTTAAGTTGGGGACAATATCGGTGTCGTTAGAGCGGGACGGGCCCGGCGATCCAAAAATTCCAACATGTGTTAGTTAGCAGCAGTTACGGATTTCTAATTTTAAAGTGTGGCTTATAGAAACTTATTTGCACCATAGGGGGGCTTGCGGAAGCTTTTTTGAACTTGTGGGTTACTAGAATTATATACAGACCAATTTTCTTTTGGTTGCATTTGTTTTAGTTTCATCTCATGTGTCTGTTTTTCTATCTGTTAAGTTATTGCTGCATTTGCTAATGCATCGCTCATCTGCCAATGAGGTTTCATTTTTGCACATATATAAAGCAATTAGACTGGTTGAGCACTTGTTTGCTGATATCGATTCGTGGAAAAAATAATTCTGGGCTGCTTTGCTCAAAAAGCTTTAAATTTGTGGAACTCTTGGGGTACAAGAGTTTTAATTGATGCTATTTCTTCTGACATGACTCATTTGAATGCAACTGGAATTTTGAACTCTCTCAGGATCCTCATAAAGGGGTCAGTACTACTTGGAGAATGATTTATATGGAACGGGTTTATCGAGATGTGATGTCCCAGATTTATTAGATAGGGACAATTACAATTGTAATGATGAACTTTATCAACTTCTAGTGTTTTCATTATTGCTTTAGCAAGACATTATTTGTTTTTTAAGTCAGGATGAATGTTTGATTTCGGATATTTCATGTTTAAGTTCTGGATATTTCATTTTCTTTGTTTAAGTTCTGAATGTTTACACCCTAAAACATTTACGACATGCATGATCATTAAACTTATATTTTTTTCAACATTGCATGGCAACCATGAACAAAACCATCTCAGCCATCTCATTCATGCTAACGATCTCATTACTTCCAATATTCACTGGCTCGAGGAAGTCTAACTTCATCAACAAATCATAGAAGACATAATTACAAATTTTAAAGGGGTTTGCATGTTGAACACAACATATACCTATTAAAATTTGGACCAAGAAAAACAAATAATGGATAATAGTGTTCAAATTTGAACAACTTAAAAATAAAAAAAATAAAAATAAACATAAAAAAAAAGGTCTTGTCCCGTTCCACGCATAAAATTGTACCAAACAACAGACAGAACATGGGTATTTTAGTTTTAGTCTTTTGGTTCCGTTCCGTCCATGCGCTACCAAATGCAGAACGGAACAACTGTCTTGTTCCATCCTGCGCGTACCAAACATAACACAAAACATCTATTATGTCCCGTCCTATCCCGTCCCGTTCCGTCTGCGTACCAAATGCGACATAAGTGAACGTGGTTGGTGTTCCATAATTTATATGTTGATTAATATTTTTCATTGAATTTTTAAGGGATCACTAGCATTTGATTTAGGCCAATAATTATGTAGCACTTATATTTTCAAGATAATGCAAATCACAAGTCTGTACGTTCTCTCTTTTCTCGCTCTCCCATTATAAATGGATTTTGCTGGATCTAACGGTTTGGCATCCCCATGTTGCATCTTACATGGAAAACAATTTTTTTACAGGTTGGTTTAGCATACAGCAACTAGAATCGAATGACCGGGAAGGAAACGAACCCACTATTTCCTTAAGAATATGTATGGTGAAGAATTTTCTATGAGGATTGAAGTTAGTCAGGAATTGAACATAAAATATTATAAACGAGGATTAAAAAGGTATGATACGGGTATAACAAAGGCATGTAGGATAGATTCGTGATGACTCCTATCAAGTGTGGATTTGCAAATCCCGTTCACATGCTTTTGATTTCTGCGATGCTCATATGGTGCATTTTTAATTTTTCTTATCTAACATTTTGTAATCCATTCTTATTTACTTGGCACCAATCCCTTACTTGAACATTCTTCACTCAAACTTAGCCTCATGTTTTGATGAGGGACTTTTGAATTCCAAGGGATTTATGCAAACTAAACGATCCACACAAAGTCAAGTCGGAGGGATTAAAATTTTCACCATATGAGCATTATAATTTATAAAAGTGCATGTGTAAGAGAGATATGTAAATGACTACTCCAAGTAGTCATTGTAAATTCCTCTCATATACATTTGCAATACTCATATGGTGCATTTCTAATATCTTTCATTTAACTTTTTATAGTTGATTTGTTTCTTTGCCGAAATTTCTTAAAATTTGAAAGTCTTTCGCCCAAAACTTTTAAGTGAGGATTTACAACTAAAAGCTGAAAACCCCATTGGTTATTAAAAAGTGGATTGTATTGAAAACCATTACTTTAAAAGGACTAAAAAGTATTGAAAAATGCAGGAAATTCTAATTTCTCCATTGTTTAATGACTATTTTTTTATTATTATTTTGTCAAGTTTGTAAGCTATTTTGCCTGTTTGATCTTCTTATTTTGGACTTGCACTAAACAAGTTTGCATATGTCATTATAGAGCTACTCAAATATCAAAATCAGAGTCCCAAATTCATTAGGGAAATTGTTGGGCTTGAAGCCCAATCATGTATAACCATGTTCAATGGGGATCTTCTGTAGTGAGGCCCTGAGGGGTGTTGAATCATACGTCCAAAACTGAAAAACCTTAACGCGGTACAAGCGGGCAGCAATGACAAAAATTGATGTCATATTAACAGTTGAACAATAACCTGAAGATGATCTGTCGATGCTATAATGAGTTGATTCTATAACAGGAAATACTAACTGAGCTCTTCATCTCTCCTTCCTCTATTGAAACTAGTCGCGCGTCCTTCTCTACTCTTGTCGTCCATTGTTTTCGGCGCAAAGAAAATAAGGGGTCTTTTAACTTTAATCTTTTAAGAAGATTGAAATTTAAAATAAACTTGGTGTTAGATTACATATTAATTATAATCCCTTGATGTGTTCTTAATTCAAAATAATTAATGTGCATTTTATTTATTGTCTTCCATTAAAGATTTAAATTTATTAATATACAAATTTTAATTTATTTTTTCACCAAAAAAGAGTTTTTTAATTTCTTAATTTTATTTAATATTCTTCAAACTTGAAAGACTCAATTAATTATCTAAATGTTAGTACCGAAACTAATGTATTTAAATGTTAGTACCAAAATATATTATATTAAATTAATGTACCTAAATGTGCGTACTGAAATGTATGCACCGAAATGTATTATATTGAATTAATGTACCCAAAATGTTTGTATCAAAATGTATGTACCGAAATGTGTGTACCTAAATGTATGCATTGAAATGTATTATAATGAATTTAATGTACCTAAATGAAGAAGACAAAGTACATCGAAATATATTGTATAACAAAAATTTATTTATCTAAATGTTTACAACAAAATATATTACGACAAAAGAAATGAAAATTATAATTATAATGAAAAAAAATTATACATTAAAAATTAGGAAGAAAAAGAGAAATAATTAAAAAAATAAAAATATAATTGATAAATGAGGTTATTAATGTATCAAGGGACTAAAATTAGATTTTTATCTTACTTATGGTTTTAATCTAAAAGTCATCTTTGCCAAGGATTAAAATGAAGTTTTCTAAGAAAATAATGTGGGTCCAAATAAAGTTTTCAAGAATAATTTCTACCGAACGAGTCAAACTGACCCTAAAAGCGCTTCTAACAAAAACTATTAAGAACTTGATCACACAAAAAATAACTAAAACTATTATGAACAATTTTGGTTTTTACAAAAAACACACACAAACCAGGCCCTTGATCTTGAACGAGCAAATTACGTTTCACAATTGTAGTATGGTGCAAGTGCCTAACATGTCTAAGTGGAACCCAAATAAATGGGTTTGGGCCTACAGTTTAGGATATGCTTAAGCTTGAATTTAAGCACCAGCGAAGGCATCTACCGTTCATGGTTTCTTAGTTATTCGTTTAAACAACAAGCCAAACATTAACATATTATCTAATAACAAATATCTCCTTTCGTTGACTTCACTAATTACTATTTAATTGTAATTAAGATTTTGGGAGTCTACCAAATGTCAGTGTCAATCCATTTAAAAGAAAGAAGGGTCCATGAAATATTTTAAACCCTCAGTCACACTCACCAGGGCTGAAGTTGGCAACGTCCC